TCTGGAAATTTTATTTCATTTAAATTGCAATTTTTTCGTTGCAAAATGCTACTTGGGTCGTGATAACCTTGTCTTGCTTTACCTGTATTTTTTAACTGGCTTGCAATTAAGTGCTTATAATCATGTTACACTGTAATAGTACAATCAGTGATCATACTGCTTCATGAGTAGGCATTGCATTGTAGTTACTTTGACGATGTAGTTTCAGTATATGTAGGTATAGTGCTCATAATGGGTTAAACCCGAAAGGCCTCGAGCTAATGATGCTTCAAGATAAAACCAGAATTATAACAAATGTACGGTACATAGGTTAGATTTATTTTATTATGAAAAGATAAATTCCTATTCTTGCCAATTTTTTTCTTACCTAGTGTTTTAAAACTTTATTATTGTCATTCAATTGAAATAATTTATGTTTTTTAAAATATTTTTCAGAGTCGGAAGAATTGAAAGTTGTGTGCATAAAAAAATGTTGTTACGTTTGGTGCTCAGAAAAAAACAGTTTTATTCGGCTAGCAGGATTAGATCGTGGTGTATCTAAAAAAGAGCTACACAGTTATTGTGGTCTTGAACCTCAAGAGCAATTCCTTAGGTACAATACCTGTAAAAAAGGTCTAAGTGTTTTGTTCTCTTGATTTTACTTTTAATTGTCTTTAAGGATCCTCTGAGTCAGGTTGGTTTTTCAAGTAAACAAGTTTTTGGCCTATACATAACATCGGGTCAATAGAATGATGCAAATTATAAACGGAAGGAATTGGTGTTTGAATCGCAGGAAATATACGCTAATGATAAATTGGATCGCATTTCGCAAAAAAGAATCAGTGCAATTACTTACAGTGTTAATAAAATGTTGCTTCTTCATAATTATCTAAAAAAATTTCCCAAAATAGCGAATAGTTTTTGCATCCAACCAAAAAAGTGTTAATTTTAAAGGGAATAATTTTCTAACTTTTAATACTGTACATATATTTAGTATTTTTAAAAGAAAATAAAGAATTTGCACCATTTTGAAAACACTGTAATCACGAGTGTTCTTTTTTACACAAGCAGAAAAAAATCCGGAAATAAAATACAGTCACATAATGAACTTCAATGAGTTCCAGTACAAGACTGAAGGAGGGAATGTATTGGTTAGTATTTTCATGCGTCTGCTGAGCTGAACCCTCTCCCCTGCTCAGTCTTGTACTGAAACTCACTTGAGTTCATTTGGTGACTCCAATTCTAATTTTTGGATTTTTTTGCTTTGATTTCCTGGCAAAATTCGTAGAATTCTCCGGAATTGTATTATTCTGACACTTAAGAAAGGGTATTAAGGGCAAGATTCGAGAGGTTTGCTGCTTGAAGGATAAATGTGACTTGAAAAAATTGACATAATACTTTTAATCATTGACTTTGATGTCAAAATATAACCATCTGCATAGTGGCAGAATGAATTTGCTAAAGAATCGAAACATCTGTCCCTGTCATCATTCGTAGTAGGTACCTAAATGCGAAAAAAGAGCTCTCTTTCGGTTGGCAGATGCAATTCGTGCAAATTAAATTCACCAATTATATGAGGGGTACGTATGTATGTATTGATTAATGAGTTGAGCAGTATCCAAAATAAGATGGGCCTCTATCTTCTGCTCTTGGTTATTGGTTCTTCAGATCGCCCCTCTACCTTATCCCAATCTCTTTTCTTATCGCAAGTTATAATGGGTGAAGATACGTTATGAAGGGCCGTTTGTAACTAAAGATACGAATGTTGGCAATATATAAGATATGATGTAATATATGAAATATTCAAGATATATAGGAAATTTGAAAGATATATACGAAACTGTCGCAATACATAAGAGATGTGTCAATATATAGGAAATCGACTCCAAAATATATGGCGAAAATCGTGCAATATATAAGAAATGTATCAATATATAGGAAATCGATTTCATAATATATATGGCGAAATTCGCGCGACATACAGGGTGATCCATAAGTCCTTTCCATCCCCTCGAAATTTTTACCTAATTAAGGCAAAGATTTGAAACTTGGGGGATGTTCCTAGGTCAAATGGAGCTACTTTCTGGCCCCCTTAAATTTTCCGGGGAACANTGAGAAGACCCCCTTTGTTAAACCTGGTTCGAAAGAGCATAACAAAAGGAAACTTTTTGGGTAAACGAGAAGTCAATATCTCAAACTGTTTCAAAATGGCGTTCGGTTAAAATTCAAGATGGCCGAAAATTTACACCGGTTGTTTGTCAATAGATTTGCGCGAAAATCGGTATCTACGGGTATTATATTAAGAGAAAAACGAATTTGAAGTTAGATTTTCTGAAAAAAAACAACAAATTTCGAAAATGGCCAAAAATTCAGAAACTTGGAAATTTGGGGTATTTTGACATGAGATTAACAAATTCGAAGTTAGATTTTCTAAAGAATAACGAATTTCTAAAATGGTCAAAAATTCAGAAACTTGGAAATTTGGAGGTATTGTGGCATGAGATTAACAGAAGTTGGATTTTCTAAAGAGCAACAAATTTCCAAAATGGCCAAAAATTCAGAAACTTGGAAATTTGGAGTATTTTGGCATGAGATCAACAAATTTGAAGTTGGATTTTTAAAAAAAAATCGGCCATTTTGGAAATTTGTTGTTTTTTTCAGAAAATCTAACTTCAAATTCGTTTTTCTCTTAATATAATACCCGTAGATACCGATTTTCGCGCAAATCTATTGACAAACAACCGGTGTAAATTTTCGGCCATCTTGAATTTTAACCGAACGCCATTTTGAAACAGTTTGAGATATTGACTTCTCGTTTACCCAAAAAGTTTCCTTTTGTTATGCTCTTTCGAACCAGGTTTAACAAAGGGGGTCTTCTCAATTGAAAAAATAATTGGTTTCCGTCCATCCTCCCCCCCCCCCAAATGTTCCCCGGAAAATTTAAGGGGGCCAGAAAGTAGCTCCATTTGACCTAGGAACATCCCCCAAGTTTCAAATCTTTGCCTTAATTAGGTAAAAATTTCGAGGGGATGGAAAGGACTTATGGATCACCCTGTATGTCGCGCGAATTTCGCCATATATATTATGAAATCGATTTCCTATATATTGATACATTTCTTATATATTGCACGATTTTCGCCATATATTTTGGAGTCGATTTCCTATATATTGACACATCTCTTATGTATTGCGACAGTTTCGTATATATCTTTCAAATTTCCTATATATCTTGAATATTTCATATATTACATCATATCTTATATATTGCCAACATTCGTATCTTTAGTTACAAACGGCCCTTCATAGATAAGTCATGATCATTAAATTATAAATTTTTTCATTGGTCCTTGTCACCCATCTTTATGAGTTCAGAAAAAGTATTTAAGTACAATATGATAGATTATAAGTATAAGTATTTATAATTATTATTATAGTACAGTATATTAAGTGGTATATACTTGAAAGTGAAAAATTTCTGATTTTATCAGAAGATCTTATTAAAAAATTTTGGAATGTAATAAAAAATGCCATTGAAAAGCTTGTGCTCATTAAACAATGAATTTGAGTAGGTTAGGTGGGGGTAAAAGGCCGCACCCCACTTTTTTCCGAGGATTGTTTAGGTTGGCACCAGGACCGTGTCAGCTATGTTGGTAGTATTGGTGTTGTTTTGTTGACGAAGTTTCGGACTGAACGGACGCGTTCCCTTGAAAATATGAGGAGAGTTAGTTTTTCGTGAAAAAAAAAAAAAATCGATTTTCCCATATTTATTTTGGTCAATTTCAAGTTCTGTAGTTGAAAGAAAAATCAGTACGAGCTGCAGTTAGAACAGAATATCCTGCAGTCATTTTCGGGCTAATGGCCGTAGCTTTGAATTTTGAAGTTAGGTTTACCTACGTCATTAAATGGACAAAAAACCGCAGGTCCGATGGGGCAAGAGGTCGCATGCGGCCTCCACTAAAATACCACTAATACTTGATCTATTAACTAATACTAAATCTTTTACTACATATTTTCCTAAATATTATTGACAATTGGCGTGTTGCAAACTTTTGCCAGAGTAAAAATAAGATTTGTTACTCATAGAAAGTGTCTCAAAAATTACGATGAGTGCATCGGCAAAGTCTGAAATGCACTCTTTACCTCACAATTTGCACAAGAAATTTGTGTTTTTTCGAACTTCTCGCTTCAAAACCGATATCATCACAGGTGAACATTTCGTTAGAGGAGTCATTCCATCCAACCCCTGCTCACAAGGATACTACGCAATATTCAACATAGCCGATGCCAGTCCGCCAAAACATATGTGACGGGACGATAATTCTAACTACCTGATAACAATCGGTGTGTTTACACTCACAGTTTTCTCGCGTTGTTAGATATCCGTCTTGTTTGACCTCGCGCTCTCCTCAACTTGCTCGCGGAAGCGTCGGCCATGTTGAGCAGGGATTGAATGGAACGACTATCCCCTAACAGAATGTTTGCATGTGCCGTAGTATCCTTTTTGAAGCGGGAAGCTTAAAAAAAGGGAAATATCTTACGCATATTATAAAGTTAGGAATGCATTTCAGAGTTTGCCGATGTGCTCATCGTGATTTTTAAGGCAATAGGTATCTATAAGGAACAACTCTTATTCTTGCTCTGGCAAAAGTTTGCAACAGGCCAATTGCCGAGGATCCTAAAATGTAGGGTAGGTGGGGACAAATGGCCACCCTTTACCGTTGCGTCTGTCTGTCGGCCGCTGTATCGCATGAAAATTTCGGAAATGTGGTAAAATATCAACTACAGACCCTTGGGCACGAAACGGCACACTTTCCAGAATTTTGAAAGCATTTCCGAAATTAAAAAAAAAAAAAAAATCGCAAAAATTTCGGAAATGCTTTTACAATTCTGAAAAGTGTGTCACTTTGTATCTAAGGGTCTAACTTTGATATTTTACCACATTTCCAAAATTTGCATGCAATACGGCGACCGACAGACGGCCGCAACAAAAAAGTGCGGCCTATCACCCACACCTACCCTATGCTGGAATATAAATTTTTGGTTTGTATTTTTTTCTCAAATTTATTTAATATTATGTTTTTTTCAACAACATTAATCTTCTCTTTTTCTAGGCGACATGTATACGGAAAAAACGAGATCAATGTTCCTGTTCAGAGTATATTTGTTTTAGTTCTACTCGAGATACTAAATCCTTTCTATGTCTTTCAAGTTTTCACCGTGATTGTCTGGCTAGCCGAACTGTATTTGTACTACTGTTTCGCAGTCATGACAATGTCGTTTTTTGGTGTTGTGTCAGCAGTATACCAAACTAGACAAAACCAAAAAAGTCTCTATGAGACAGTTCATGTTGTCGATAAAATATCCATCCTCCGAGCTGACCAGACTGTAGATGAAATACCAACGACTCATTTAGTTCCTGGAGATGTCATAATCATTCCGGCTCGTGGTCTAACTCTACATTGTGATGCCGTTTTACTCAATGGCCAGTGCATTGTGAATGAGAGCGTGCTTACAGGTAGGTAAATTTGGCATGCTTTAGCTATCTGTTTGAACGTCTAAATTTTTAAGTACGAATGAAAGAAAAAAGAATTTATGATCAGATCTGGAAAGACCTATTAAATACATTTCTGATAATGGGGACTTTCAGATGACGTTTTACAATTCCAGGCTATGATTATTCACCTAATTTCCATTTGCTTACCACGACATTAAAATATGGTGAGTTCCAAGCTTCACCCTAATATCCCTTCAAAGTGACCTATTAAAGTTTTCATCTAATTCATTTTTATCAGTTTTATATTTTCCTTATTTTAACATTCTTCTTGCCTCTCTTTTATTACGCAAAAGCATATAACAGCATACTTATTCCACAGGAAATTGTGTGTGGAAGAGCTAGGAGCTTTCAAATTCTGTTCATATTTTATTTTCTCAACAGAAAGAAGAAATAATGAAACACATCCTTTAGTTTTATTAAATATGCTAGCCGTAACTAGCTTGCGTCACGCCTAGCAGGGGAGTGCCCCCAGACCACCGGTTCCTCGCTCCGCGATGAACTTGCGACTCGCTCTGCAAGCCGCCCCTCTCGGCCATTAGCTTTAATGAGAAGACAACACTTTTTTTCACCGAATGTGTCGTTGCACGCGCAAGAGCTACAGTCAACTGAATACAGTTTCTAAGGGTTAAATTCGCTTGAAAATGTCGTCGAGCACATGTAAAAGTCAGAAATCCGCTCCTTATAGCGCGCAATCTGCGTAATTCATAACATGCATTTTCAAGTTTCCCGCGTCTGCGGGCAGTTTTTCTCAGTCACCGCCGACCAGGTTTTGCAAAGAGTCCCCCTTTATAGAGAGAGTTGAGACAACGTGGCTTATAGATGTCACAAATCGGAATAAAGATTACACAAATCTGACGTATTTTGTAATCTTTGATCAACCCATTCCCGAATTCCTTTCTCCGTTCCCTCTCTCATTCCATTTGTTCCTTACCGTACCTAGGGGTGTTCAAACGAATTCTTGCCGGAACACTATCGACATCGTCTCTTATTGAAACTGGCGGCAGTACCGACAGTGGCCATGATATCGACAACAGCCGGCCTTATCGGAGTTTTGAGAGCTCGCACTCAATACATTGTTGCCCCGTGTGTCGGTTTATCAGATTGCCTGGCGCGGCGGCGCGTAAAATAGATGTACAATTGGCAACAGCTTATTTTCGCCAGCTCCGAAAACTCTGATCGCTATCGGTAAGAGCGCTCTTATCGTAACTTTTTCTTAACGGAACTGTTTCGGTGGCTTACCGACAACCGATTGAACAGCCCTAACCGTATCCCCAATTCCCCGGTCCATTCTAGTTTAAAATCTTTACAATTGGTGAAAATGTAATCTTTATTCCTGTTGGTGACACTGTGAAGGCCTAAAATACGGAAACCAATCAGAAATAGATTCGCATTGTCTTTACTCTCAGTAAAAAGGGACTGTAGATTTGCGCAGCTAGAGGAGTATGAAGGAACTACCCAAATTAAACAAACGATTTGACTAACTTTTTCATGATTTCAAGCATTTATTTCCATTTTCTTTCTTTATTTCGCAAAAACAAAAGTTTTGAATCAATTGAAATCCTCCGCAAGGAGAGTTTGTAACAGTTTGCAAGATTGCTTGATTGATTTAGATTAATTGGATCTCTAGCTCTTAGGGCAACCCGACTGACCGTCACCAAAAAAAAACTACCTACCCACATAGCACAGAATATTGATATAATATTACAATAGTACTGACACGTCAGTAGTGTCAGTATTTATATAATGCTGATGTATCCTGATTTAATATTATATCAAGACTATGCCAGTATTTATTAGTTACTGATTTGGAGCTGTCAAAATATTGTCACAGTATTGGCCGAAAAGGTTGATTTCATATGGAAATCAGGGTTATGACAAGGTCATCAGAACACTGCAGGACACCGACAACATGTATGCATTACTACCTTGACACTGAAACGTCTGTACACTCAGCGCCCACTGTCAAGTAGATATGAAAGTTCAGACGATGACCGTCATTTTCATAGTACTGCACATGTATTACATTTGAAACATGAATTACACAAGTATACAAGTATTGAATATTATAAACCACTTACTTGATGTCCTGCGACGTTTAGTAGCGTAAAATACCCGGACGCCCTCGGGTGGATTTGAACCCGAATCGCGGAATTCCTAGCCCAGTACTCTACCATTGAGCCACAGGGAGCTGATGGTGTTTCGGGTTAAAATCACGCCTGTTAATAAGGCTGTTATAGCATGCATAGTATCAGTGCGCGGCTCGACTTTCATCATAACTTTGATTAACACCGTGTTTTCTTAGGCTTCTTTTTCTTCCTATATTTTTTTTTTTTACCTCGTCAGCATTGACTCAATAGACGCTATTAGTGCAACGTCACAGAAAAGCGATATATATCGATTTTTTCGCACTGGTAGCATTGAAAGAGGTTATGCCAATGTTATTGTTTGGATCCAATTCGATATAATGGAGAATCCCTATGATGACGTCGCCACTAATAGCGTCTACACTGTTGTTTGATATATTGAAGGTATCAGTGTTATATTCATGCTGACGTGGTATACCTTTTAACCGACAATCTTAACATCATACTCGTTAGTGTTGGTGATATCATGTCAACATCCAACAATATGTATCAGTATTGACATAAGATTCTGTGCTAAGTGGGTAAGGTGAGGTTGGGTAACTGGGCGGTGGGGTAACTGGGCAGTACCCTCTGTATTTCTACCAGATTAGTGCAAAAATTGTTTTCACTATTGGCATACCTTCATTATGACGTAAACCATCTAGAACATGTAAACATAACTTCAAAAAAAAATTTTATGGTGAATGGTGAAGTGCCGAAAATTGGACAGCTTTTTTTTCAAAACAACGCCGGAGGTGGTCCCGAAAAGAGCCTCATATCTCACTCCCAGCAAGTATTTTATTCAACTTTGACAATTCTTCTTCATGTATGATGTATTTGTGTAATGCGTGAGTAATTACAACGTAATTGGATGAAAATACTGGCTGCAAAGGGTTGATGCCCAGTTACCTTGAAAATTTTCCCTTTGTGGGGTAACTGGACACCCACTCCAAGGTAACTGGGCAGGTGGCAGTGGTGGCACCTGCCCAGTTACCCATTGCAAGGTTGCTGTGCTTCGGTGTTTGTTTACTTCTGAAAATGTCAAAACTAATTGACTATTGTGGACTTTTAAGTGCCAAAGACCAATAATCAGGGTTCCCAGCACACTAAACTTCTAACTTAAGTCAATTATAGCATAACTTAAGCATTACTTAATTACATTTTTGCCGCTAACTGTTATGACATCACTTTTAACGACTTAAACATGGTTATATAAATTCAAATGAAATTCTCTGAAACCCTCATAAGAAGGACATTCTTTTCTGGCCAATGAGAATTACAAATAATGCCCCCCTTAAAAATTAAGGGAACTTTTTGGCGCCTGACTCTATCCCAGATCAGCCTTGCGGCTTAATTTTTTTTCATTTTTTAAAAATGTATCATGCTTAATCTCACTAAAAGTGGCCAAACAGTGTCCTGGTATACAATACTACTTTATAAGTAGTAATACAGAAAGTTCTAAGCATTTATCTACAAGGAAACAATTTTTTTCTACCGTTCTTCAATTCTCAGATTTGAGGGTTTTTTTGCCGCTAACTGTTACGACATCATTCTTAACCACTTAAACATGTTTATATACATTCAAATGACATTTTCTTAAACCTTCATGAGCAGGACATCACTTTCTGGCCAATGAGAATTAAAAATAATGCCCCCCTCAAAAATTAAAGGGGGGTAGTCCAGTTACCCCACGACGTTGGGTAACTGGGTGAAAAAAACGGGAAATTTTTGAAAATTTGTGGGAAAAAATTGAAAGATGAAATTCGACTTTTGACTCTTCCTACATTTAGACAAGGTGTTGTACTTACTAAAAAAAATTTAAAAGTAGCTTCCACTGTCAATATAATGATGGGAAAAAAATCATGAAGTTGAAATTTTGACATTTTTCTCCGAACTCCTGCCCAGTTACCCAACCTCACCTTACTTACCTACGCAGTTTGGAAGAGAGCGCGTTTAAAAGCACGCAGATTGCGCGCTAAGGCGTGGATTTCAGATTTTTTCGATGGACCCGCGACGTGATTTTCCAGTGAATTTTCACCAATAAGGTGTATTCAGTTGGAAGTATCTCTGGCTTGCAACAGGCCCATTGCACCATGAATTAATGCTCCAAAATGCAATCCAATTGCAACTCCCTTGCCAGCAGATTTTCATATTGATGATGCCCCTGTAATGGAGGATGTGCCTTACAGAAGATTAATTTGTAGTTTAATGTGTATTGCTGTTACCACGCGACCAGACTTGTGCTTCGCGGTATCTTTATTGAGTAGAGTACTTGACAGACCCACAGCTGCCTGTTGAAAGGCCGGTAAGAGAATTCTGCGATACTTAAGTGGAACCAAAGATTTAAGTTATTTATTATTTAAAGGTTCACCCCATGATGAGTCTCTTACTTGCTACTCAGATACTGACTGGGCTGGGGATAAGAGAGACCTTAAGACCATCAGTGGCTGTATGGTTTTTGATAGTGGAAACCCAATTGCCTGGTTTTCTAAAAAGCAGAATTGCGTAGCAATTTCCTCAATGGAATCCGAGTTATACGCAGCTTTTATTGTTGTACAAGAACTTGTCAACATCAAAGGAATTTCAACAGATATGAATGATTCTTCTAAAAATACTGGACTCCTTTTAATAGATAATGAATCTGCTGAGTTAGCAATCTGCAACTTTGAAAATTCAAAAAGGGCGAAGCATATCGATAAAGGACACATTTCTTTAAAGATTTGTATAACAAAAAGGTTTTTGAAATTCTATAATGGCTGCTCTACACACACAAATGATAGACTCAACTTGTGATATCGAACAACAACTTTATTCAGAATTGAGGCAGGTTTTATACAT